TGTGTGTGTGTGTGTGTGTGTGTGTGTGTGTGTGTGTGTGTGTGTGTGTGTGTGTGTGTGTGAGTGAGTGTGTGTGTATGTGTGTGCGTGCAAAATGTGAAAGGTCCAGGGATGAATCTTTCTGGAGACTTCCAAAAACCTCACAAATTCATACCAGGTGGATAGCGATACAAAAGATACAGAAAATGGGAGAAAGCGGAAGATTTGGTTAAATTTGCCTTCCTTTTGCACTGTAAGGTTATACGAGGGGCAAACCAAAATTGTTTTACCTGACCATGAAGGAATAAAGGTAGAAAGCTGAAATTTGGGGTGAAAGCCAACAATAATCTTCCTAGAATGCTGGTAAATTTAGGGGAATTTCAGATTACTGGTTTTACCACCAGCGCACTGTAGGTGAATGGGGGTATGTTGTTCTCCAGTTTCAGCATAAAAATGGGAGAAAATTGAGCGCAGTGCAGTAATGAAGTATTTGTTCTGGCAAGGCACGCAACTACAGGATATTTTTACGGAGGTGCATGCCGTATATGGAACTGATTGCCCATCCTATGCTGTGATAAAATTTTGGTATAAAAAAAGTGATGATGAGGTCAAAGAAGCGGCGGAGGGCTGGTTTTCTGATATAGAGAAGGTCCTCTATTTTCAAGGTCTTTTCAAGGTGATACACAGATGGCAAACATGTATAACTCTGGGAGGCGACTATATAAAGAAAGACTAAGCTTAGTACCAAATTTCAGTTTTCTACCTTTTTTCCTTCATGGTCAGGTAAAAAAAACTTTTGGTATGCTCCTCGTATATGCGAGGCAGGGCATGAGGTTAACGTTTCTAAGGCGATATTTTATTCATCGAGACAAAATAACAACACCAAAAATGACCGACATGCTTCTAATTTGATACAGTTGTCAAATTAACTTACCAAAGGCGAGAAAGGGTAAAAATCGGAAGTAGTAGTAGTAGTAGTAGTAGTAGTAGTAGTAGTAGTAGTAGTAGTAGTAGTAGTAGTAGTAGTAGTAGTAGTAGTAGTAGTATATTATCATTATCATTATCATTTTCATTTTCACTTTCATTATGA